TTTTTTTTTTTAAAGAAAGATAGTTAAGTCTTTTGTTTTACAGATAAACAACTGCATGTACATACATAGTTTTAATGTCAAATTCTCAGATAATATACCATATAAACCAACTTGTGAAAATTATGTGAATACATCATGTTTAATTACATGTTATGATAATGCCATCTTTAATCAATTGTTACATGATGTTAATATTGCTCAAAATTCTGCAGAAAATAAAACATATCAGTTTTATTTGTTTCTGTTAGCAACTATAATTAGTTGGATTGGAATGGCAGTTGTGGTCAGCATAGCTGATGCTATATGTTTTAATTTCCTTGGTTAGTATTATATACGTTAATTAAATATTTAATATGTTTTTCATGTTTATATATATCGTAGGAAATGAAAGAAGAAACGAATATGGGAAACAAAAGATGTGGGGCAGTATTGGTTTTGGTATATTTGGAATAAGTGCAGGATATTTGGTAGACTTATTTAGTGAAGGAAAATTACAAAAAGATTATAGTTGTATATTTTATATCATGTTGGTCATTATGGTTCTCGATATCATTGTGTCCGCAACTTTGAAGAAGGTAAAACTTTTTTTATTATATATAATCTTCTAAATAGAGGAATGTTTAGATAGTACAGAAGTTTGATACTTCTTACTTATCAAAAGAATAAAAAAAATTACCAGGTAATGGGAGAAAGCAGTATCATTACAGAAAAATCCAGATTACTCTGAGGATGAACCTTCAATATTATGGGAACTACTTACTATCCTTAAAGAGGGTAATGTGTTGGCATTTGGATGGTGGTGCATAGGTGCTGGAATGTGTACTAGCGTAGTGTGGAATTTTCTATTTTGGTATACTGAAGATCTAGCAAGTAATTCACAAATAACATGGCTGAAAACTTTACAAGGCCTTATGACAGGCGTACAGTGTTTTCTAGGAGAACTACCGTTTAATTTTATCTCGGGAACTGTTTTACAAAAATTAGGTCATGTGAATGTTATGAGTTTAGTTTTATTGATATATGCAATCAGGTAAATAATGAAATTTTTTCCTGATTATATAATCTTTGTACTCACAATTGCACTATTTTTTCAGATTTATGGCATACAGTATTGTATCCAATCTATGGTGGTTTTTAGTTATTGAAATACTTCATGGACCCACTTTGGGACTTTGTTGGCCCACAATGGTATCATATGGTGATAAGGTAACACCACCTGGTACCAAAGCTACTATACAAGGATTTATTGGTGCAATATTCGAAGGAATTGGTCAGTAATGGTCAATTAACTGTAAATTAATTATTTAACTATTTTAAATAATTAATTTTTTTGTGCTGATAATTATTTTCAGGAGTATCAAGTGGCAGTTTAATATGTGGATGGTTAATAAACAAATATGGTAGTGTTGTAGCATTAAGAGCATTTTCAGTAGGAGCACTATTGTGGCTAAGTTGCTTCTGGCTCATTCAATTATTTCTAAGAAAATTTAAAACATCGTCAATACACATGGGCCATAATCGTGAGTAACGATTATGTGGATATGTAAATAATAATCAAAATAATTTTAGGTACTTATCGTTGAAAAACAACGTTCTCTTTGTTAATTTTTTCCAGATTTGGCAAATTACTCTAATCCAGATGATGCTATTCTTATGAGTCGTGAATTACAAACTTATTAGTAAAATAAAAGCGACAGCGTTTTCTTTTTTAGAAATTTGATATATTCATTGTTTACTTAAATATGACGATTTTAATTGAATGTAGTAAAATATATATATTTTTCGTATAATATTATTAGGCACTTTAATTGTTAAAAAATTTGATTCATTCTTATAGATAAATTGATTATTCAGTATTATATAATTATTGTATTAAATTTTATTATGTTCTGTAATATATTCATTTTTCTTATATTGAAGTAATTTCTTTTTAAATTCACCGATAAAATTTATAAATTAAAATAAAACGTTTATCATCTGCAGATATTGAAGGGAAGTAATGCAAGGATGTGTTTAGTTGAGACATATAAAATTGCTCACAAAATATCTCAACCATTTATTCACTGTGAATTTCTTAAGAGTGAAATCATTCCATGCCAGTAATTTTATTAATTACCAGTATATTTTTAATTATTTATCGAAATCACGCGATAATAATATTTTTATGAATTCCGCATAATATGTCGATAAAAAGCTACAAATAACTTTCTTCTGATTTAATACCACATCACTGGATAACAGTTGCACGCGTGCAAAACGGAATAGCTGCATGCGAAAAGACTCGGTGGTCAGATTTGCGTAGCGTTAGTCTTGTTTAGGAATTCGTCTTTGTTGATTCTGACGAGATGGTGAAGTAACCTGGCTTGGTACAGGTTCGACGATAGCTTGAAGATTAGAAATTTCGCCTGCGGTATCACAGCAGTCATTCATTATAATTCCAGTACCTGAATGAATAAAGGCAAGACTTCCCTCGCTAGAAGAGGCTAAACTAGCCGACAATGGAGGTGATCTTTCTTTAGGCGATGCTGAAGAAGCTAGATTGTTTACAGTAGTATTACTACAAGTCGCTGCCTCTAATATTCCATGAAGTTCAAGTATACGGCCTTCAAGAAGAAGGTTTATCTCAGCTTGTGCTTTGTATTTTGATACAACGGCTTCCAATTCAGCTTCATGTTGATCTTTTGTTTCTTGTAAAAGCCGTTGCAGTTCTACGAGTTGCGCTTCTTTTCGTGCTTCTTTGTTCTCTAATTCAGTTAAACGTATCTTTAAAGCTTCTACAAGGGATATTCGTGATTCTAATTGCCGCCGTAAATCTATGCAAATATTAATATATATTATTTTTAACATATTCTCATAATTGTTTGTAAATAAATAATAAGATTCACTCACTAGTTAATTCCTCTGCATATGACTTTTGTATTTGTGTTACTTCTTGCTTTGTCATTGGTGAAAGACCAGCTGTACTTTCTTGTAATTTCGCTTGTGCCTAGATATATAAAAATAAATTCAATATATCTCATGCAAAAATATACATATAATTTAAAATAATACCTCTCCAAGTAGAAGAAATTTCTTCTGTACAGAATCGAGAGTACGCTCTAGTTCTTTACTACGATTTGCAGCTTTTAAAGCTACTCTTAGTTGATGGCCTGCGTCAAATAGAGAAGCCTCTGTGGACTGAATTCGTTGTTCACAGTCTGCTACCTTTTTTTGCTCATTCTTCAATTTAACTTCAATAGATTCGAGACGTTCCTTTAATATCTGATTCTGTCGTTGTTCTTCTACACACTGTACGTTGTTATAATCACGTTATTATATGAATTTCTATTAGTAATTAAGTCAATAGAATTTATAAGTATTACCTTAGTTTGCCAGTGATGTAATGCATCTTTGTATTTGTCCTCAGCTTGGCAAGTTTCTTTCTTTTTACGCTCTAATTCAGTTTTTAAGCTCTCCACTTCTTTCTCCATTATTTTTAAACGATCAGTCTACATGATAAGAATTTCGTATTTAACAACAGCAAGAATTAAAAATGTTAAATAAATAATATCAACTGACCACAGCATAATTATGTTCTTCTAACGCACGAGAATCCCTCAGTTTTCCAAGAAGTCGTCGATTACGTTCAGCGTGAACTTCTCTACGGTGCCGTTCGAACTGCAATTGCATTTGCATAAGTTGTAGTAACCGAGTCGCACATTCGACATCGAAAGTATCTTCTTCTGCTATTTCATCTTCTCCACCATTCTCTTTTCTTTGTTTCTGCTTAATTCTGTTAGTTCCTTCGAAGAGAAATACTTAATTTAAATTTCTGTTGGTTTACAACAAGATCGTTACTGAGCTCTTGAATTAACTCATTTTGTATAAATAATTATTACCATGCGTGCAAGCTTCGACATAACGATCAAGCATTGCAGTTGGTGATAATCTAAATTCGGTATCTTGCAGAGAACGTTTTTGTAAATTGATTTGCGTCTTTTGCTCCAAAATTCCTAGCAACAAATCTTCGTATGGAAGTAAATCGAACGTTTGAGTTCCTGTATCTTCTAATTTTTTCCTCCTTATTTTTACCGAATCTGTTTTATCATTACTAATTTGTCTCTGAATTTTGATATCTGGGCAAGATTTGCTTTTTCGAATCTGTAAATACATGTTTTTATCGTGCTGAGGTTTCTTTCTTTTTTCTCATAACAAATATTAAACAAACAAATCACTATAAAGATGTCTTACTTTGCAAAGAGAATTCAAGTTTAAATGTTGTGTCGAAGCTTGACTTTGAGAATACAAACGTAGCTGATAAACCTTTTGTGACAAATCTGCAAAAGCATTTTGCATTTTTTCATTATGATGTTCTTGTTGTTCGACATATTTCGAATTTTCGAATTTTCCAGTAGTTTGAGAGCTTACAATTTCTAAAACCTGCACAATGCAACGTTGTAGAAACATGTCTACCAATATTCGTTAATACACAATATCTTTACATACAAAAGTATACAAAATACAGAACCTCTTGATCTTCTTGCCAAGAATCATTTTTCCCATTTTGATGCATATTCATTTCTGAAAATCTTCCATCTTCATCAACGTTGATGGACGATCTTTGTTGATTGATCGTTTGTCTATCTGCGATAAGTTTACTTAGCTTGTGCGGAATAAATCCATGTGTATTATTTGTATCTCCACTTCCAATTACGGAACCAGATACAGATGGATTTAAAGGGATTGGTGTAGATGGTCGTGAATTTGGTCCTACTGTGCCATTACCAAATGCAGTAAGAGCACGTACTGCGCAAGAACCAGTAGGTATTTGCCTCGTTGACATTTTTCGTAGATCCTGTACATAAAATTTTAAACATTGTATCGATATATTTTCTTCATTCTTGGAAGCCTTTAGGTATACCTTAACAGGAGTTGTTTCTGGAGTGGCTTCGACTGCGGCTTCCGGTGGAGATGTACCGCTTTTATTATTGTTAGGTGTTGAAGGAGCAGATCGTTGTTCATGAGATGTAACTGGAAACTGAGGACTATGAGGTGGCACTGACATACTCGGTGACCAGAACGTATCATCTTCACCATTGCTGATCTCTGATGACGCTATTCCTTCACTGATATTTATTGGAGTACACACAGAAGAGTAATCTAAAAAATGTACTAGTGGCATAACTATTTGTATATTTATAATTATACATATATATTTTAACAAAATTTGCAAACCTAAGAGTGGCGTAGAACGTGAGTTTGCAGTACGAAATACTTCTTCCCGATATTTATCCAATGTAAAACGATCGCATTCAGCCATAACATCATGATGCTCCATCTTTTTCCATCTAAAAAATAACAGATAAACGATAAACAATCTAAATTTGATCCTCTAAATTATCATTACTCTTCACGACATAAACTGTACCTAGCAGCAGAGATCTCTGTGTCTTTAGATGCAGTAACAAGTAAAGGGTGCATACGCACTGAATCTAGCATTGGTCTAATTGTATGGATAAAAGTAGCCGGTTGATCTCGTTGTTGTTGTTTCAAATATGAAATGAAATTGCAAGGATACATGGCATATAATCTGTGAAACAAACTATACAGGCCCATCTACAAGAAATTCAAGAAATATCAATTAACTTTTCACCTTTGCACAAAAAAAAATAGTGATACTTACTTGCAGATGTAATAAATATAAATGATTTTTATCTATTGTCCCTGTTGCTGAAGTAAAATGCATAGGAGATGAAAACACGGATGACGATTGATGATGATAATAATAAGAGACTAATCGACCAAATACTTCGAAAATTTCTGGGAGGTACGGCCCTAAAGCAGCAGGTAACATTGGTAATAACATCACCAAAAGTAGAAGTGCACTCATAAGAGATAACATATCCACCTCCATCTAAAAAAATAGAAATAATTAAAAAGTTCATTGTTCATGCAATATGTTCTCTTGTTACTTTGCTAAAAACTGAACTTCACCTTTAGTAATTTAAGTAAATCCCGAAATAAAGTATGACTGGCAAGCTTGTATAACCAAGTTGGCTGACGACGGGCAATATGACCCAACAAAGTGAGGGTTTGAATTCTTTGGCTGCTACTTCCAGATTTGGAAAGGGCTTCAGACAAACGGTCTAAGAGATGCTTATCATGTGGATCACGAATGCCGGCTAATATTTCAACAGCTCTCAGAGAATTTGTGGACAAATAATAATCAAAAAGACCATTAACCAGCCAATTGTCTTTTGCTGAAAAATTTAAGAGATCATTGGCTTGAAAAACAGGATCTTCCAGGTACATCCAAGTTCATGACTTTACTTACTGGATAAAAAAAATTCATGAAATATCTTTTTTATTTCTTCTACCTCTGCGAGTTTGTTGGATTCCAATAAGTTGAAGAGATCACCTATGCTTATTGAGCTGATGTTCATCTTGACGGCTGTTGGTGTTCTGTTATTGATAAATGAGACCCTATCCTGACCGTCTGATCATATAGTGGAAGTAGAAGTGGCTTTGCAAAACTGAATTTCATCCATCTGTCATTTGTTACGTAAAATAAGCTTCATTGGAAGCAAGTAGAATTTTGGAATACCTGTAACAGAAGTGAAACAATAGTGAGAGGTCTCATTCATCGAATGCACACAGAAGGAGCAAAGATCTTTTGATTTCACACAATCACGAACTGTCAATTTCATATATAAATCGACATGTTAAATTCCAATGTTATAATCCTGAAAGCGTGAAATGAGCCTTTAACGACACAAATCCTTTGATCGCTGAAGGAAGAAAAGTTTTACGTAGAATATTCGTCTATCGTCAATCTATGTTTCATTCTGTGTGTGTAAAAAAAAAAAAGAATTAGTCGGTTCAGTACTATAATATTCAGAAAAAGGTCATTCGCGAGTGGTGTCTGCAAGAAAGAAATATTTTTTATAAATATTATTTCGACTTTCGAATGGAACGTCGAATTCCGGTTTTTGTGGTTGTCGTATTGACAAAAATTATCGAGTCAACTTACCCGAAATTCATCGAGTACCTCAAGCAATTTTATGAGTTCTATGGCGACTGATACACCATCGCAGATATATTATAGACTGGTACGCATTGATATTGCTACAATGCGAACAGCGCTACGATCGCTCAACAATTCTGTCTGCGTTCCGAAAGCCGCTTGAATTATCACCGACAGCCTTCTCTCCGGTGTATTTTATAACACACGAATGTTTGCACAAATGCCCCCGTATATTACTGTAGAACCGATTACTTTCTTTTATTTTTAATTCGTTTTCTTTCAATTCCGCACAATTTACGACAAATTAAACGCCAATCGAACACGTTTCAATCTATCGATAATTCATTTATTCGGAATCTTGCACATGCATTTCGCACGTCCGACGAATATGCGGATATAAGAAGAAAACTGACTGTCGGTAATTAGGAAGACTGTAAAAAAAAAGGAAGAAATTACAAATTAGTCTTGTCAATTACTTTTTTTTGTAAATAAAAATTTGATCGATTCACGGACGTTGGGAAACAATAGCGCCGCATAACGGCGAAGAATAGTGGAATTAACCGCTATTGCCATCCTTGTCAGAGACGTGTATATCCGTTATACACTATCGCTGATGTTTTTTTTGCCGCGAGGGATGAGGGTTGGAAGTGTTGTGGTGCTGCCATCTGTCGGATTTATTTAGAACCACTTTGCGGAACAAACAAAGTACTACCACTTATTGAATTCTACATTTTTATTTTTCTGATTCTAGGCTTACGAGATTTATTGTAATTGGAAATTACGCATAATTGTGAAAAGTATACTGTGAAAGTATAATTGTGAAAAGTATAACTGTGAAAGTATAATTGTGAAAAGTACTGAGTGAAAATTGGCAAGTTAAGGCGAACATTAGGAAAGTGCATCCATTCTCCCGTCTAGGTTATGTCTATTCTATGCCCGATGCCTTTTCACTGGCATCGTTACACGGCAGTGCCAAACTGTGTTATATAGAAAATATGGCGTAAAGTGAATGTCGCACATGTCTCTCAGTGATATTGGTAAGGGATCAAGTGTCACATCGGGAATTTCTATATTCGACGTCCGAGAGAGAAGTACATCGACTCGCCCATCACGTGATTGAAACAGATCTGAGAATGACTAACACAGAATTTGAAACACAAGTCGTTCAGGTACAAGCCGTTTTGATAGTTTGAGATTGAAATAGGAACAGAGAAGTATTTGGCCGGCCATTTCACGAGACGTTCTTGTTACGTTTGTTCCCGTTAGTACCAGATCAGCACGAACTGGGCATCAATTGAATGTTTCCGTTTCCATTAGGCCGTCCGATATCGTCCCGAGTGGTGGGCAACAGTCTCTCGTTACAATCGTCGAAATGGAAAAAAAGGCCGTTCTAACTCAGCTCCACTGGCACGAGAGCGCATTCCGATCTCCTGAGTTATTGCGCGCCTGATTTTCGCTCGTCCAGTCGCCTTCCTCGCGTAAACACGTCCGTCCACGATCACGCTACGCAGTCCGCTTTTCGCCTGTTGGACGTCGCAACGCGAACGCGCAACCGGTGAAAAATTGTGAAAATTAAAAAAAAAGAAAAATACGTATATTTTTGTTACTCTGGCTTTTCGTGAATTCTCCGTTTTGTGACTTGTTTACAATATGTGTTATTTCAATTGAGCGGGAAAAAAAAAGTTCTGTTACGCGACAACTAAAACCAAATTGTTCGTGCGAAATTAATCTGCGAAACGGGTTAAGGTTGGAACGGTTAAGTTCGATTCCTTGTTCGTACGAAAACCGTAGTTCTTTTTTTTGTATACGAAAAGAACGAATGGTCGTTTTGCTTGTGTTTAAAAGTAATGTAAAAAAGATGTTGACTTTTATCGCTACTTTCAGCGGCTGTAATAATACTCGAATAACTTGATGATGTTATTGATGAAATGTAATTTAATACGTAATAATTTAATGCATATTTGTGTGTACGCGCGCGTGTATACATGATATAAATATGTGTATGCATGTGTTACATATTACATACATACATACATACATACATATATGTATATATCATGTGATATTTTAAACATATTTATTACATATATACATGTAACTTGATATGACAAGTTACAAGTTGAAAATGTTAGTTTTAAAAGTTTTCCAAAATGTTGCATTCAAAGGAACATTAATTGTAATTTTATGTTATTTTTGTGATCTTTTTAGATTAAAACAATAAAGAGGTATATGTGGGCTGTACTCTAACGTATACATATTGCCAGTAAGTATTAAAAGTACTAGAACTTGTTTAACGAAAGATTATAATATATATGCACTATATTTGTGAAATATTATTTGATATGCAGCGAAGTAATATTTGCTTTTTTTAACTTTTTATTAAGCATAGTTTTTTCTAAGTTAGTACGACTTGCTTTCATTTATTTGGCAGTCATATGAAACGGGAAAAAAAGAAAAAAAAAGAAAGAGAAGTTAGTAGAATAAGGAAGTAGGAGTGACAAAGAAAGAGGGAAAGAAGGAGGAATACTGATGTCGGAGAAGAGAGCCATTTTCCAAGTCTTCGTTTAGACATTCTAAATATAACTGGAGGCTCTATAGGCTTTCCTTACTGTGTCATACTGAGCAGAGTAGTATCTCAATGCATTGCGTAGATCTTGCTCATTTTCTACCTTTAGTATGGCATAATGCCAATTTTATTTGTCTGAAAATTACTGATTCTATTTGTAACATTATCTTTAAATATTATGCTTGATAATTGAAAGTAATTATTCTTTTATTTTTCATTTATGATAATACTTATTTAGTCTTTTTTTTATTGATTAATAATTTTGGTGTTATATATTAAAAATACCTTTGAACATGTTCTAATTAATATGTATTTGTTTAAAAATAACATATTCCTTTTAAGGAACCAAATAGTGATTGATGCTGTATAAGCTGAAATGACTGAATTATATAATTTCTTTAGAATGTACACAGGATACTATATTGCACTTTCATTAATATTTAGTATATGTTCTTTTTAAACGGAAATTTTATTAAAATGTTATATATTCTGTTTAATTTTTTTACAGATCATGGTTTGTAGAGCAGGTCAAATATGTTTTATTCAATGCAATTTATCTGGAGTTAAAAATAAGATCTTTACTGCTGACAGACTTCTGCTTCATGAATCTACCCGTGGTGAGGATCTTTATGTTCAAATTGAAGAGCTTTGTCAAATACAACCAGACAGTTTTAAGTTGTATTTATTATTAGGCAGAAAATTGGTTAGTAATTACATCCCTTTTTGTCCTATTGTTAATGCAATCATTCATCAATAGTTTACTGTTCTGTTCACGTAAAAGTTAAAGTTGTTTTATTGCTATTAGATCGATTTATCTGAAGTGAAAGATAAAACAATGTCAGAAATTGGTGTGGATTTTTCTTTCGATCGAGAATCATCAACTGAACATAAGCATACACTTTTAGTTATGGATCCAACAGATATTTTGCAGAAGCAATGGCGCCGTCAGACTGCATATAATCCTCCACCACCATCTCCTAATCATTCATCAGTATGGGGTGAAGATAATAATGTTGATTTTAAAAGTCTCATTAAGTCTGAAACGTGTAAGTAATATTTACTTTATGTTATGATAAAATACGTATTAAATATTTATATTATTTTTTTAAGGCTATGTTGGTTTAGTCAATCAAGCAATGACATGTTACTTAAATAGTTTATTACAAGCATTATATATGACTCCTGAATTTCGAAATGCATTGTATAATTGGGAATATGTAGAAGGATCAGAAAAAGATGAAGCTAATAGTATCCCATATCAATTACAGAAGTTATTTTTAAATTTACAAGTATAAATACTATTTCTATGATTAATGACTGTATGATTGTGTAAAAATATTGTGTAAAAATATTTAATAAAAAAATAAATATTTGTATTTATAGACATCGACAAAATCGGCAGTAGAAACAACAGCACTAACAAAGAGTTTTGGTTGGGATTCTACAGAAGCCTGGCAACAACATGATATTCAAGAACTTTGTAGAGTTATGTTCGATGCATTAGAACAAAAGTTTAAAAATACAGAACAAGCTGATTTGATAAATAGACTTTATGAAGGTATATATATCTAAAATATTTAAATACATTAGAAAAGAATACATTCTAATTTAATTTTCATATTGTTAGGAAAAATGATTGATTATGTTAAATGTCTTGAGTGTAGTACTGAAAAATCTAGGGAAGATACTTTTCTTGATATACCATTACCAGTAAGACCTTTTGGAAGTAACGTGGCATATACAAGCGTGGTAAGTTTGTACAAGATATTTGTAAAAGTTGATGCCAAATTTTAGAAACATATAGTGCTCATCAAAAGATGCAGAAAAGTCTCAATAAATATGATTTTTGAACTTAAATTTATTAGGACTTCTTTTGATGAGTACTATTATACACTCCTGAAGTTTGATATCAATTTTTATAATTACTCTATATAATTTTATAATTTTAATATTTGAATTAAATTTATATAAATGTGTATTCATAATAGGAAGAAGCTTTAAGAGCATTTGTCCAACATGAAATTTTGGAAGGAAGTAATCAATATCATTGCGAAAAATGTAATAAAAAATGCGATGCTCATAAAGGATTAAAGTTCACAAAATTTCCCTATCTTTTGACGCTTCATCTTAAACGATTCGATTTTGATTTCAAAACCTTTCACAGAATTAAACTTAATGATAAGTGAGTGTATTGTAAATCGTCATTGTTTACAGTTCTTTATTGGTCTTATACTTTCATACTAAACTTTTAATTTTAGGGTTACTTTTCCAGATATATTAAATTTAAATTCTTTTGTTGCTTCTATGCCAAATCAAGAATCTCCAAGTATTGATGAAAATATTGGTTTAGCAAAATGCGACGATAATTCTATAACAGATAGTGGTACATTAGATGATGATTGTCCTCCGTGTGAAAACAGTCTTCCTAACAGTAATCATTCGACAAATCACGACCAGGATGATGATGAAGGTGTATTGATTTCACATATTATGTGCATGTTATGATTAACATCTATTTAAGTAATTTATTTTTAAGCATAGATTATTTTTAGGCATAGATATGAGTAATGGACCTTCTACATCGAATTGCACTGTGCATAATCATGAAAATGAAAAAGATCGTAGCAATAATGTAAAAGGACCTTACAATTATGAGTTGTTCTCAATTATGATTCATAGCGGCAGTGCTAGCGGTGGTCATTATTATGCTTATATAAAAGATTTTAGAACGAATGAATGGTTCTGTTTTAATGATCAGAATGTAACCCAGGTATTTGAGAACGTTTATTTTGTTATATAATGCTTTTAAAAAAATAGTATTCATACATATAGTTATATTACAGATAACTCACGATGATATTCAGAAAACCTATGGTGGTGGTTCAACTAGGTCATATTTTAGTGGAGCTTATAGCAGTACTAATGCGTACATGCTTATGTATAGACAAATTGATCCCATTCGTAATACTTTGCCCATACAAGTGCAAGATTTTCCAAAACATATACAGGTAAGGAAAAGTAAGTATGCAAAATATAATTCATATCGTGCTTTTCTAATATTCTATAAACTATTCCACTTTAGGAATTGTTGAAAAAAATGAAGGAGAATGAAGACAATGATAGAAAGAATCGTGAAAGAGATTTGGCCAGAGTAAAAGTATATTGTCAGCATCCTAATGAAGATAAAAAATTACATTGTAGACTTTCCTTCTCGCCTAATGCCACTTGGGCTGAAACGACGAAGTATGTTTATGAAAACTTTTGCTTAGAAAGAATGGTGAGCTTAAATCAATGTCGTTTAGTTGTTTACGACCACAACAATGACTTAATTATGACTAGTTATGAAGGTAGAGAACACGAAACATTTGCAAATATTTGGGGTAATCGAGTGACTCGCTATAGTTTATTATTAGAAATACGTGATAAAGATCAAAAATTCGAGCCACATCTACGAGGTGGTATGTATTTAATTCTACGTATGTACGTGCTATCAATAAGATGAAATATAATATTTCCTTGTTAGTAGGTATTGTAACTAAAGTGTACATCGTCGATGTAGCTAGAAAGAAGCTTATTGAAGGGCCACAAACTGTACGAGGTTCGTTTACACAAACAGTAAAAGAATATAAGCAAGTAGTAGGAACAATGTTTAATATGGATCCGGATGATATGAAGATAGTTATACAAAAACATGGAACAGATGCGATACTTGTACAGAATGACGATGCTATATTAGCGGTCGCAGACTTTTATAACTTGATTAAAGTTTTCGTATGTACTTCGTATGATGCCGAGTGTAATAAATCCTACTTCGAAACAACAATATCTAGTATTGCTGAACAGTTAGAAAACATTATAACACTACGTATAAAGTTACCTCCTAATCCAAGCAAAGGTAAGCGATAATCATAATTTGCTAAAATTAATATGATATTTACTAAAATTATAATTGCATGATGTTACTTTTTTTTTCCGAATACAGAAATGTTGGAAGAATTAAATATCCCAATGTTAGAAGAAGTAAACAAAGATAAAGAAAAACCTGTGACTGACAGTCCATCCAAAGCGAGCATTACTGAAACGCATCGAGATAATGGTACAAAATGTAACGAGGCTTCAAAGAGCGGAAAATTTTTTGTTGAAGATGCTCCAATAAAAAATGCAAGTCCACAGTTGGGAGAAGGCGAAGAGTGGCATACTCCTGAACAAAGTAACAGCGAAGACAGTAGTCTCAGCGATAGTGACAAAACTTTAGTTGGAGATGCTCCAGGAGACGAAGATTTTCAATTACCATATCTTTCATCGAGTACAAGTAATCGAGCCATTAAAATGTTAAATCAGGTTAGACTCGAAAACTGGGACAATATTATCGACGATTCAGAGTATTATTTTAAAGCCACTCCATGTATCAATCATAATGAGAAATGTATGTATCCTAAATTTGTTTTATGAAATATTCGAAATAGCAAAGATATTTAATGATGATTACTTTGGTCATAGTTTTGAAAGTATTAGTGGATAAAAGAATGATATTCAATACTTTGAAGAAAAACTTAGAGCCGTACGTTGGTGTACCCGCAGAGTATTTTAAAATTTGTCGTTACTTTGATGAATGTAGTGAATCAGAGTGTAGCTGTTTACTTAGTCAACTTGTTTCTTATGAAGATGGAGAAAAACTTTGGATAGAAATAGGACGGGCTTTACGTAATGGTGAATTTACAGTAAAATTACATCAATTTTCTCTTGACTCAGCCGAGGTATGAATACACAAATTATTAAGATATTTTTATAAACATTTTTTCTCTTTGCGTAAGTAATAAATAATGCTTTTATTTTATATTTTTTATAGGGCAAATTTTTGTTCGAATGGATCGTTTCGGAAGATATGACTGTCGGACAGGCGAAGAAAGAAATTCTTGCAGAAATGAAAAGAAGATATAACATAGAAATACCGTACGAACGATGTCGATTAAGGGAAAAGTTTTTCTTGTCACCTTCAAAAGTACTTTTAGATCATCAAAAGTTTAAAGATTTCCAATATTATTCGCAATTTGAAATGATTGTACAAGAGTTACCTGATAAGGATCCAGTTACCAACAGTAATCAAGTCATTATATTTGTTCGACGTTGGACAAATCTTATTTCAAAAATTCATCTTGGACCACCTCAAGAAATCGTATTAGATGAGACAACTATAGAAGAAATGATGAAAAAGGTAAGTGAATTGGGACTGCTGTACGTTTCTTATAAAAAACTAAATTGACAATTTCAATTTAGTTGTCTTTAATATCGGATATACCTGAAAAATATATAAATATTATAAGAGGAAAAGGTTCAGTACATATGCCTACTATACGAATTGAGAATGATCAAGACTGGATTGGATTAACAGCTGGAGCGGAATTTAATCCTGAGGATGGTGCTCTGTTCTTATATAGGTACGTATTAAATAATTATTACACAGATATATATTAAAAGATATCATAATGAGTTATAAAAATTAAACATAAATTGATTTGTTAACAGAGATAGCAGGGAAACCTCACAACCATCATCCCAAGAAGAATACAATGATATCGCAATTCGAGAAGTATCACCTTTTTTACCACTTTCCTCTGCGTCTCGTTACAATGCACGTAAAGAGAAAGCGCTTAGAATATATTTGGATGGTGAATGATCCTCTATTAAACATAAGTACTCTGAAAAACAATTGTCAAATAGGCATGTGTGGGAACATGAAACGTTTGCGTACAAAGTGATTACATCGTGTCAGGTATTTGTGAAATCGAGTACTCAACAATTACAAAATATTCTGTGCTTCAGTAAGTCTTCAATATTTCAAAGCTTCCGTATCTTTAAAGCCTTTTCGTTCTTGAAATCATTCGGATTCGTAAAATTGCTCGAATTTGTGAAATATTACACGTTACCGAGAGATTTTAGACCTCGATTATCTCGCTTCATTTCGATGTGTTTCGAGACTGTAAGAATCATAAAACTCCCAATAAATGGATTACTGAGTTATAGAATCTCATTCAAGAGCACAAATACTGATGAAAATAATGAAAGTGCTAAATAGGAATAAATTACAAAAGAGAAGAAGGGAAAGAAATTGAATTGCTTGGTGATAATCCGAATTTAAACTATGGACTTCTTACGATACGTGTATATGTAACTGACGTATATATATACACGTCATATATACATATATATGACGTATATATATATATTTAGAGTTCCTGCAGCTACATTATTTTCATAAATTCCTTGATATATTTTTTAACCCTAAGAATTTTGATATTTTCACATGTCTCTGTATCAAAACGTTTTAGTAAATCGTCTTATTTAAAATATTAAAGAATTTTAATGTCGAAATGCAGCACAGAGTATATTCATTTGTTGATTAAAACAAAAAGGGAAAAAAAAGAAAGAAGAGAAAAAAACATTTATCTGACACAACAATAATTAACCCTTTTAATGCCAGTATAGATTAAATTGCATTCTTACAATATAATACGTAATATAAGTCTTGAGTTCAATAATTGATAGTAGTAGTGTCTGGATTTATTTGGAAATTACTACTTAAAAGCTTGTTAATTTCGAATATATGTATTTTACCAAGTTTATTGATAATTTTACATTTTGTATCATATAATTTTACATTTCACAATACTTTTTCACATATAAAGTTGGCGTTATTACTATCAAGTTATAAAAAAAATATATATTTATCGATATGAACATAAAGATTCGTTATGACCAGGCATGTATCCTATACAGTCTGTTTTAATTTATTTAATTATCTATGTTTATCATTCACTATATATTATAAATATATGAAAATTTGTGCCACTAGAAAACAAACCAAAAAGTACATTTAGCCATTTTTTGGCATTGCTGCCATTTCCTACAAATGAAGTTTTCAATGAAAATAAGAGATTCTTGGAAAGAAGTTCACTAAATTTACATTTTGTAGATCAATGCTTGTAAATAATAAACTTATAAATTAAATATTATATCTTTCTTCATATCAATATCATCGTAATATAAACAGAAATATATATATATATGTGTGTGTATGTGTGTGTGTGTGTGTGTGTATAAATATATGTAAATATAAATATATATATATATATATTTATATTTATATTTATATATTTATATAATATGTATATATATATATATACACACATACATACATATAAAAATATTTTGTATTTAAATGTACGATAATGCAATGCATGCACGTAGCATATCATCATCCTCTTTGCATTTATCAGCAGTTTGACTCGGAATTCTTTTTTTTGCTAATTCCACGCTGTTAGAAAATTTTTGGTGCTGAAAGGGTTAAATACGAAGTTGTTGTTAATCCCTATCACTATTAGAACGTTTTGATAGACTGTCCAAGACTTACCTATATTATTTTTTTGCAATTGTTTCATCACTCGAGATAAGTGCATTGAATTAATTAATCAACAATCGATAGAGATATTGAAAATTCATGAAGAAAAAAAGGGAGAATGTTTATGAGACATAATATATATGTATGTTAGCTTTTGAGATACTGATATCGATTGTTGCATAACAATTCAACAATGCTCTCACAAATTTTCAATATATAGTTGTAATTTATATTTATGGTATATTTGTTACGTGAAAGCCTAGTTCAAATCGTTCGTGTACGATTATGCGATGACTTGTTATAAAACATGACAATCTAGATGTTTATAGAATAAAGAAAAACTGTAAAAATCTTGTTGATGCATATCATTAATGATAACTTAAGAAATGACGTGAATCTTCATTGATTATATTTTGATTTATTAAATTTCATCAAAGTTCGTTCATTTTATTACCAAAATTGCGTGAGTGATCTAATTGCGTGTACCAATATTTAGAGAAAAATGGAAAGAAATGATGAAATTTATCTTTCCCAATGTTTTATCACGAACACGAATCTAAAACGTTTAATTAATTAACTTGAAAAATTATTCTCAGTAGTTTCGTAGTTTCGTAGTTTCTTGTTTAATAATTGATTGCTTTGGTTTCTCTTTATATTATCTTGCATCTTGTTTGTAATTTGTAATTTAAACGAACTAGGCTTCAATACTGTTTAATGATTGTTTTTGTAATTACCAAATATTGGAACAATGTCTTTTGTGCATAATAGTGGGTATGTGCGAATAATAAATTTCAAAATTCATAAAGTTTTTAAGAAATTTAAAAAAAAAAAAAGAAAAGAATACTTACACTCTATTTAAATTGATATTTTTTATATTTATTTCTACTAACTTAAATGAATAGTTCATAAGATTGCAAATACTTCATAATATTTCAACTGGAGTTTTCTTTTCATTTGGATGGATCGAAAGTTGTTAATTGCTACTTTTAAAACTCAATCAAAAAATAAGTCTTCGTCGTTGTAAGATCTTCAGTACTTCTGTACAAAGTGTTTAACATTTCACTAATTTTCTTTCGATATTTGCCTGTACCTACTACTATCTTAAGTATTTTTTAAATATTTAAAAAACGGACGTGAGTATTTTTCTGTCTTTTCGATTATTGTTTTGAAAATATTTACGTGTATTTATGTTTAGCAGAGGAATACAAACGACGTTGAAAAAGATCATACTCATATCCTTTTTGCGGATAAGTCCAACGTCCTAAATCACCGCGAACTTTATGAAGTGTTACGGTTACGATTGTAGTTTCTATCAGACTCTTCACCACCGACAAGTGTCGTCCTTGTGTATTATACACTACAATTACGAATCAAATTATGTTTATATAATTATTAATAATTGAATATTGAAGTGACTGAATTTTGTTGTTTGAATTTTACCGATGTTTCTCCTCTTCTGTCTTAGCCGATTGTTGCGTTCGTTAATTTTTAATATGATTTTCTGCGTGAATCGTTTGCAATGGACTGAATAAATATTGAAAGTTGAAACTAGCTATTTTCTTTGATTCAGCTTTACTTGTTTTATGTAACATTCAGCGCCTTATAGAAGATATAGATCATTAATCATTTCGATAAAAAAAGGTCGCGATTCGCTTTTCTACAAAGCGATATACGTACAATAAAATCTACAATGTTCTTAGAGATATATATAGAGTGTTTGTACTTGTACGAGTATTTGCTTGTTTTGTAATGTTCTTAGCAATTTTGTAAGCCATTGTTTAATTCCATTTGAAAGAGATATTTATATTTCAACATTTACATCACAAAAACTCAATTAAATATGTTACGAAAATAATGTAAAGATACATGACAAAAACTTAAATATTTTTACATTTACGTTATAACTAATGTTAACCTAAAAACTCTTCCAGGTTCGAGAAAAAATTATTCTCGGGAATGGATTATTTGTTTTATAGTATTACTAAAGAAAAATAAGTTTAATATTTATAGAGCGACGATGAGTTCCACTCATTTTCATTTTCATGCTTGCCAACGTACGCAATAAAATTTTAGATACATTGAACCAGCGAAGTGAAGTGTAAACATTGACTCTGAATGTTTATTTAAAATTTTTACGCGGATCAAGAGAAATTTTCACTTGTTTTTATATTACATGCAAAATATGGTATACTTACATTTTCCATCGAATTTAACTGAAGAAGAATTGATGTTGCAGGCGAAGTACAACAAACTTAAAAGAAAAGTATATATTAGGTTATGTTTACACATTTCAATACATACATAGTAAATTTGTAAAATTTGTGTTGTAAATTATTTGTTATATATTTGTAGAATTAGATCAAATTATATTTAAATTAGTTGAACATTTGTTTTAAATCCTTCAGTATATTACAGAATGTATTATAGAATGTATTGGCATGTTTGTAGATTATCTTTCTGAGTTTTGTTGATTTTTATATAATGTTGTGTATTATATTTAACATAATTTAATTATATTTAATATTATATTTAATTTTGTGTATCTTTGATAGAAAAAGGCACTGCAAGACTTAAAAGCACCAAAACAAGAAGTTGAACGAATACCGCAAGCACCGAAACGGCCGACAGAGGCTAGAGATGCTAGAGAAGTTGCTAAGAAGTTGATAAAATCTGGAGTGATTACAGCTCCGAAAACTCCTAAACGGCCAGAACAGTCATTTAAAAGACCACGTGGGTTAGTAAGAAAGTTGAACAGTACAGAGAAGACAATAAGCTCCTATCAACCATTCTCAGCCACACAAATGGAAGAAGAAGAAACAGAGACAGTAAGACCAAGGGTTAAAGATTTGTATGATAGTTTTGTAAGTGCTCAAGACACGGAGGATCACACCGGTAGAGATGTTCAGTCACCATCTAAGCAAGAAATAAAGCCAAGAGCTGGAAATACAATATTTGTGTGCGGTTATAAGATATCAGAGGATTTTTTAAAGAAGCATTTTCAAACATTTGGGAATATTATAAATATCTCGATGGAAATAGAGAAAAAGTAGTTACCGTTAATTCCAAACATTTCATTGTATTCAAAAGGTTTGAATTTTCATTGTTTGTTTTATTTTTTCTTTTAGCCGTGGATTTGTTACGTTTGATAAAACAGAAGCTGCTGAAAGAGCAATTAGCGAGATGGATGGTAGTATGGTATCTTCCATTCAGTTGAAAGTATCGCTGGCACGAAGGCAACCCATAATAGAATCTATGACTGACGCCACGTCCAGTTCTATGTGGTCACCGATCGCGGCGAATTATTCACAGAAAAGTGCACATAAAGATAGGAGAGACCTGAAAGTATATGAGGAAGATCTTTTTATGTGAATGCAGTATCTTTTAATATTTTTATACGTTTCCTTAGAGTATGTTGTTAAATTTACAATATTTGAAATTTTCGTTCAAGATAAAATTGCACATGGACTTTAATCTTTGCAAGGTATCAAAAAATATTTTTTTCGAATTGTGCAACTTAATTATTACGATGCCGCCGCTATATTCGTTACTAGTCAAATGGCCACGCGAGATACAAAATATTTTTTTTCGCGTGTTATTTCTTGTTGATCGCTGATCGATGGATGACACATCGAATTTCAACTTTTTTCTACAAAGTTTCCATGTTGATAAAAAATAGTTGTTGAAGAACTTGTTTTTGGTAATAAATATTTATAATTGAATTATATATATATATATAATTATATATATACATACACACATATATATATATATATATATACATATATATATACATACACATTGTTTTTATACATATTCATCACTAAATAATTAAATACAAGTATTTTCGTAGCAAATTATGTGCAGGTATTGTTTCCTTCACATTTGTCAGTCAATACAATAAATATTCACCTGGCAAAAGTTATTCATTTGTCAATCGATTGTCTGTAATTCACACATATTTGTTCAAAACATAACAAACGTTCAATAATTAATTATATCAGAGAACAGACCTAACCATTTAAGCGATTAAATTTATATATATATATATATATAATATTTATTTATATATATATTATATTATATATATATTTATTTATTTATTTATTGCCCTATTGTAGGTATTAGGTCCAGATTCTCGTTACTCATCATAAAAATAGAATGCCCATTATACGTGTACAAAATCACTTCACGACAACCGTCAATTGAAATGGATATAACAGCATGGATTCTGCTATGATTCTGTTACACTTTTTTTTTTTTTCTTAGTTTATTATTTCGGCGGGTTAAAATAATCCCAATGATGATGATGTGTAACTGTCCGAGGGTTGCTGAAGAAAAATATCAGCAAGCCGGCAATCAGAAGTAACAGCGCACACAGCGTTAATTCCACTTCTCTGATCTTCTCCCTTGATTCCTGGCCTACCATGGACGACATATATCCCACAAAATGTCTCATAGCTTTTAAACCAGCTAATCGAAGAACTCTGATTAATTGTCTAGTACTGTCTGTGATGCTTGGCTCCGTATCAAGGCGTGGGTTGACCAGGGATAAAAATTGCGACGGGACTTGTGAAACTGGAAATGCTATGAGATGAGTGCCTCCGATAGGAAAGGAGGATATTGGCGATTGGGATGATTCTCTTTGGCTCTCTCTGTCTGACTGGTCGGCATATGAAATGTAGGAGATCACGGCACGTTGCGGCTGTATTTCGCTGGTACTGCCGTGACTTACGACACTATCTGGTGTATCCGGAGTCACAGAGATGACAGGTGGTAGTGATCTAACTGGAGAAGCAGTTTGTCGTGTTCTAGGGATACCGATGGGGGACGGTGACCTGGACCTCGACTTTCGTGTCTTCTTTTCGCTAATTTCTGGCAAAGTCTCTTTGTCCTTTTGATCTAACGTTGAAGATTCTTGGGGCTCTGGCAGTTTAAAGTCGGTAGTGGAAACCGCTGGTTCGCTTCCAGCTTCGGTCAGACGATCCGGAAACAGCCTGAATTTTGTGCTTTCTTCGGTCGTTACAACCGAGGGGGAGGATACGGGGGATTCTTCCATGCCGAGTTCCTTAGTAGCATCCGGGCTCAATGAAAAGGGGGTTTCTGTATCTAGAATTTGTAAGGACTTATCTTCAGTATCTTGGACGACTAATAATGTTTGTGTGCTAGTAGTATCTTTGTCGCTCGGTACTATTTGTGAAATTGCTAATGTATGTGTCGATTCTTTGTCCTCTACCTGCGCGATCGATAGTGTGTGTGTGCTTGATATATCCTCTGTTTCTTTTTTAACAACCTTTTGATCCTTGTCTCTCGGTTTCTCTTCCTCTGCGTCACGACGGATTACCTCTTCGTCAGGCTTCCTTTCGGCGCTTTGCCTTTCCGCAACGGGAATGTCTGTCTTCGTCTCAACCGTTTTGCACTCCTCCCTCTGACTTTCAATTCTGGACGCAGCCACAGCCTCCAAATGGCTCCTTATAGCTATCAATTCTCTAATGATAGAAGGAGACAGACTCTCCGCCATGCTGCCACCTATGTCCTTCAACTCGGATGCAGTAATGACTAACGCATCCATCTCAGATGTAACGATCTTGCTGGCATCAATTTGAGAAACGCTCAGACGATCTACTCTCAAGTCGCCAACCTCTAAATTACTGATTCTTACAGGCTCGTCTGAAAAGAGGGCTGATCTAATGGACTTTAAATGCGCGTCTCCGTCACTATGAATTGGTTCGCCTAAATGTGGCGCTGACAAATGTCTATCTTCGAAAGCTTCCATTTCTCTGGTTGGTGATGGTGATTTTAACGAGACGGTGTCGTAAGACGGTTCTTGTTGTTCATCCTTGCGTAATCTCTGAGACATTGGTAGTGGAGGAACAGGCGGTGTGCTCGTAATCGATGGACTGGATATTCTCTCCGTGGATATCATAATCTGGGAGCCGGAGCTAGATGGGGCTACAACCAGTTTCGCTTGTGTTACTTCTTCCTCTATTACCATGTCATCGGGCAAGGGGTCTGTCTGCGTGGCAATAGTCGTTTCCATAGCAGTTTCTTGTTGTGCCTCGTGCGTGGATCTTTCTGTGGACCTATCTTTTCTAGATCTTGGTGGTCTGGGCGGAGCTGGCAGCGGTCGCCCCTGCATTTTACTCAAAACTTCACTGCTACGGAGATCTTTGTGTTCTCCGTCGTCAGAATCGATTTCTATGTAAGGAGTAGACTCAGCCGCTTGCAACGTCAGATCGTAAGTGTCATCAGTTAGTACACTACTAGGCTCTTTGGATCTAACTGGACCGAGAGTACTGTACGCTCTTTGGGGACGTTTTGGAGGAATGGGTCTTGGAGTAGTAGCAAACTTGTCTCTCTTTCTTCTTGGAGGAGGAGGTCTAGGTGGCTTTTCTCGTTTCTCTATGATTGCATAGTCTATCAATTCCCTTCCTAGGTTGACATCATCCTGGGGAATATCCTCCTCTACGTAACCAGCTTCCGGCAACGATTCCGCACCGTGAGATGTCCTATCTTCATCCAGCGCTACAGAAGTTCCTCTAGACCTGGATCTTCGTTTTGGCGGTACAGGTGCTTGATCCATGTATCCTTCATCTTGAAGTCTCGTCGCAAGTTTTTGAATATCTTCCTCACTCGTTGCCATGATTTTTCCAGCTTCGTATATTTCTCGTTTTTCCAGTTGGTCCGTGATCGTTGTAGGCGGCAACGGAAGAGGTTTCTCAGGGACAGAATCACCAGCCCATTCGGTGTGCCCGTTGCAGATAGCTGCCATTTCACCGTTCCTACGCTCAGGTTGCTTACGTAGTCGTTTCCGACGAGTCGGCACCACAGGCGGAGGTGACGGTGGACGAGGGCTATCCGCAGACAGCTGTGACTGGCTACGTTGCAAGGATTTTGATTTTCTACGCATAGGTTTCACTACCACAATATCGTCCAGTGGTTCTATTGGAAGTTCCGCGGGTTCTCCTTCTGTTTGGTAGACTACTCTGTGCCTAGAGTCGCTTCTGGTTCGCTCACGAAACTGCTCGTCCGCAGACTCGCTTCGACGAGCCCTGTTCGGATCCCTTTTCGGTCTAACTGGTGGTATCACATCGTAAGATTCCACGGAACCTTCCTTTTGCTTTCTTATCGATCTTTTTCTCATGGGACGCTGCGGAGGGATCGGCACCATTTCGTCGTCGGCTAATGCATTCCCTTCTGATCTCAAAGCGTCTCTGATTTCGCTGGTCAAGTATTTGCCAAGATTCATGTCACCCTGGCTGAGTCCACCTTCTCGCAGGAAGAATTCATCAGAGTCAATTTCTTCGATAACTCCACGCCGACGTCGATCACAGGAGCTGGTACTCGAATGTTGTTGTTCTCTGTCCGATTGCGCGGATGATGGTTCAGCTTCCTCGTCCTCGTCCATCTCCTCTTCGTATTCTTCTTCTTCGGATGGTGTCTTATGTACTCCATACCTTCTTGGATCCATCATTGCGAAAGATTCTTCGTATCTCCCTTCATGCCTGGCTCGAAGAACTTCCTCCAGTGATCTAGATCTTGGGATAGGCCTGAATTCTTCTCTGGGTATCTCTTCCTCTAGTCTCCATTCTTCCTGATCCATCTCGTCGTCCTTTCCTTGATACATCTCTTCCCTGGTTGGATACAATCTGAGATTCGACTCTTGCCTATCTCTATCATACAATTCTTCTTCCGTTCTGGGAACTTCCGACCTCGGATGCGGTTGACGATCAGAAGTTTCCGGTGATTCCTGTTCATAGTCCATATACTGAAGTTCATCCTCTTTGCGCTCCTCCTCCCATGGTATCGCGATTGCTCCAACCTCGCTTATAGATAATCTAGGTTCTTCCATGGATGGCTGCCGCCAAGGTTCAAATCTTTCTGCCGCGGTTTCTCCGTTCGATTGATTCTCGTCGCCGAAAGCACTGGTCTTGTGAAATCTCTGTGCCCATCTGTCGGCTCTCTTACTGGCTCGTGGGAAGGTAGCGCTTTCTGCTGACTGTGCTCTTGAATCCTTCGGCGTCGAGGTCGCGTATTCGCCCCTGCTCTTCGATTTCCTGTCGAACATTCGTGGGTAAGTAGAGAAGTCGAAGATATTCCTCTTGGAGCCGATTGTGGACTCTGTGGACCGTTGCTCGTGTACGGGGGACTTCTTGCGAGTCAGGGCGTTAGGCAATCGAATGTTAGGCTTCTTGATGCTGAACTTCTTCGCTCTCTCAGGTAAGTTGAACCTCGGCCGTTCGGGCAAGTGAAACTTCGATTTATCTGGCAAGGAGAACCTCGGACGATTGGGCAAGCTGAACCTGGGTCTCTCTGACAGCGACGATCGTATCCTGTCCATTCGGCTCGGCCTCCTTTCGGATCTGGACCTGTCCGAGCGGCCGCTGCTCGTCGACCTGGCTTTCTCTGGCTTTTGTCGTTCAGCGAAGGCGAACGTGGGTCGTTGCATGTTCTTTAGACGCGAACGTAGCTTGCCAGCCTGTGTTTTTAACCGTTGGGGCAGGCCGCGGGCACCGCGACGAAGAGGAAGCTCCTCCAATGCCAGTGAGTCTACCTGAAATACAAAGTTTGGCATGATTGATTCGTCGAACGATGGAATGGACTTTCCTTCACGTGGGTGTCGAAAATAGATGCTTGAGGTTCATTGCGTGTTACCATCTTGTCGATGGTCGATCGAGTTTCATTGGATTTCACGCGATGGAATTCTCTTTTTCTACGACGAGAAACGTCGTGCGATAGGTTGTAGGAACGTTTGGAAAGAAAAAGAACTTGGAGAAGTCGGTTTGCAAGATAGAAGACAGAGTTGGTTAAAAATAGCACCTACCAGATGAATGAAAATAGGATAAAAACAAAAACCGGAGAAAAACCTTCTGTTGCAGATATAATAGGATCTAACGAATTAGCAATTTTTGTTTATATATATGACAAGTGAGTAAGTTAATAAACTTCATCATTTTTCTTTTTTCATACTAATGCGTTTCATCGATGTTCCTTAAAATTTAAAAAAAAAAAAAAATCAGCCATCATAGTTAAGTCAGAAATGGAAATACTAAGAAATTATTTCCTCCCGAATACATTCTTCTTTCTTTGATATATTCTGTAACGTTAATTAATTAGAAAAACTTTCAAGCTCGTGGAGCGAAAGTTACTCTAACTCGGGATAGATATTGCATTCTTATCTATCAATTATTATTTTTCCGCAAACCAGAGTCTCGAGCGTGTTGCGTAATCGACCAGATGCACGTCGAAATTCGTCGACGATGAAGAGATGTTTCGTAGCTCCTCTAAATTTCGGAAATCTAGAATTTAGAATGACGTTCCTTGATATCTTTCAAATATTTTCTTCCACTTATTTCATTTATCATTCTCTTCGACTTTTATCCATTTATTAAAACAAGCAAATGTCAAATCAAAAATTAATAACGAAGACATTTTGCGAAATTTTCTACAAAGTTATAGCTAAACGAAACCGAGGCAACCCACTTAAGAACTTTACGATTATTTTAAGATTTTTTTTATTTTTTCAGGAATCCACAAA